TCATTGGCGATCCGAACACCTGCCATCTGAAATTTTCATCAGGCACTCAGGTGTGACCCATGGCTAATGAGAGGGAAACTAAACCGGATAAGGATCTTTGGGGTTGTAGTGTTATGGATTCAGGGTGGAAAATAAAATTAAAACAGGTATCAACACGAAAAGTATCATTTAAAAAGATTTGCATGGGATAATCCTATCTGAAGAGCTCAAAAAGTGATCTTCAATATCTTAAGATCTATGAAAAAGTGTTTCTGAAATGTGATTTAACAATTTAATTTATTATCGATAATATAATATTAATATAACTAAGACTCGCCCATTTTTAAAATCCAGTTGCCCAATCAATATAAAAACAATGCCTGTTTCTTTGTTCAGTCTCGTTGAAAAGCATTTTGTAGCACAATTTGTATTTAACCTTTTAGGGGAAGCCAAAAGATCATTCCGCTTAATTCGAGATACTGTGTAGGATGGTCATCTGTTTGTATTTTGTCATTTAACTGCGGAGATAATTTGCGCAGACATGATTTAAGCATTAAGCCAAACGATCTCTGCAGTTCCAGTGGACCATTAACATCCAGGTGTCAATTGGCCGGGCCAATAAGAGCCTCGTGGAAAATGCCTGAGAGTGGGGGAAATGCTAAACGAACCTGGCAACCTGGCACATTAACAAGAAAGCCAAAGGTAACCAGCAATCCGCCAGCAAAAGTAAAAGTGATCCTCTCCATTCCAGCTCAGACCACTACCATTTGCCATATTTACATTCCCAGCCACTTGACTTAGTAACTGACGGATCGACTGGGTCAATAGAAACCAGAAGTCGATGAGGAGCATACCTGATTGCACTGCCAGAAACTTGAGAACTGAAAATTAACCTGCAATGCATAACTTTAATTTTCAACAAAATATACGAATTCAAATGATGAAAATGATATATTTAATAATGACAAGTTTTAACTTTTGGATTTAAAATTATTGATATTTTAACTATCTATCTGTAGCTAACTATATTTAAGTATTTATTTATGCTTATTTATTTAACAAAATCTAGTATACAATACTTAACCAAATGATTGCTTAATGAATACTAGCTTCGACTCTTGATTTGGTGGTTAAGGTTGATAATAGCAACAAAGGGGTAAATATTAATTATGTTTTTAAGCTTTTTTATCTATTATTTCTTAGTAACAACATTAAATGGAGCTGTTCAATTAATTTTAGTGTTTTTAATTTAAAGCAAAAATATTTTTCATTAACAACAAACCAACTCAATTATATATTATTGACCAATATGCACTTATCCAATTTGATTGCTGCTGTGGAGTCTCTATTGGTCTTAAAAGACTCTAGCTCTAAGTAAAATCTAATTAATAAAGTTAATTTGCCATACTTTTTGGCCAGTGCAGTTATAATTTGTTACTGCTGTTGACTTCAGCTCAACAAGTTCCGCGCGACTGCTTCCAATTATGGCGAGGATCTGTTTGCAACATACGCCAAAAAGTCAACTGCTTTGGGGCCTGGTCTCAACTGGGTTTGGTTTTGATCGGTTAGTTGGCTGGCTGGTTGGTTTCTTGGCCTACTACTGGTCTTAGACAGCCTGGCGGCTTCCACTTGGACCAAGACAATGCGTGGATGCAGCTCGAAACTGGCCAAACTCGTGGACAAATCGACTCAGTCAGATACATATTGCAACACATGCATCAAGCCCAAACATAGTTACTTGTTTTACCCTTTAATATGGGTCAAGATTAACATTAGGAACAGCTATTTATAATTTGTAATGAGAATTTTTCGTAGTAAAGGTTAAAAGATAAGTAAAACACATCCATACATTTACTTAAGCCAAAAATCTCTTTTCCAATATTTATTTCTTCCTTTGTTCTCTTTCTTGTATGCATTAAAAAAATCAAATTTATTTTTTAAGTTTTGCGTTTAATAGAGTATCCTAAGGCCTAGCAATTTCATTTGACCACTAACTCATACATTATGCTTAATTATAGTTTATTTATTTAATAAGCCAACTTTTGTGGGCTGCTGCCTGGCCTGGTGTAGGCCCCTATGATTTGATTTTGCGCTTTAAGTTTTCGCAGCTTTTTGACTTGTTTTTTGTGGCTTTTCTGTGTGCAAACTTTAATTAAATCGTTATGCAAAAGTTCCACTTGTTTTGCTTTTAGCCATGTAATTTCGGATTATACTGGATCAGCAAGTGTATATAGAGATATGGGTTAAAATATATGTTGTTCGTATTTTTCATTATTTTGTGTAATGGGCAAGAAATGTTGTTTAAAACACTGGCAAAGCCAATTCAAACATTTTCTTATGTCCTGTCAATAGGGGCATATCAAATAAATGCAACTATTTTAAATGGAACTTTTCAATATCGGTATATAAGAATGCTCTTCTCCTAAATATCAGTTTTCAGTGTGCGTTTCTTAAGCTTTAGGGTCTGCTGACATCGATTTGGGTCAAGTGTTTTGTGTGCGTTTCGTTTTCCAAGATTCTCGCGGGCCTAATTATCTAATTTTTAAATTAACAGCTGAAAGTGCGCCACAGGCTAGAAAATCGTGTAGTCGACCAGCATAAAAATGAATCTGTTCAGGGCAGCCCTCCTTCAAAATCATTTTCCAATTGTCAGTTGAAATTCGACTTGCACTTGGAACTTTAACAGATAACATTTAATTGGATTTTTATTGTAATTCGAGGCGTAAGTCGGGCTTATCAGTCACTACGAGAGAATGTCCCAACGCATTCCAACTGATGCCCATTAAAATAGGGTTAAACAAATAGTGACAGGAAAATAATGTTTACATGGACCTCCGTCGACAGCTGCAACTGTTTTCTTTTATTTTTTTCATTTTTGACTGGGCGGCCACCTGCGTTTGAATTTCGCACCTCCCGGTAAATGCGTGAATCATTCGAGCCCGCCAACAAGTGAATTAGTCATCATTAGTGAAAAATTACACTAGAAAAGTGTGTCCGAAGTGAAGAAATTCCATTGGCATAAGTCGGCCGACAAGGCGGTATAATGGGCTTAAAAAATCATTGAACAGCGCCTGAAAAATGCCCTACATTTAAATGCAATTATTTTAAATTTGAATAATTATATATACAAAATATTAACTGGTTACTAAATAAACTGCTTTAAGGTTTTGTGTAATATTGTGTAAAATAAATTGTTTTGGAAATTTACAAGTAAGGGGGGATTGATTTCAAAAGTTGTTTAAACTTTTGCTTTCATGAAAAATTATTCAATTTATTTGTTAATAAGTGCATATGTATTTGAGTGAATTTTTTTCATTTCCAGCTGTTAAATCATTTTATTTTATTCAAAAAATTGAATACAATTTTCAAACCGCAAGTACTTTTTAGCTGATTTTAAGGCCGATCTGCACTCCTTTGTGAGTCTGGTTCTGTACCTCTGAAATGGCTCACCAGAGGGAGAGGGTAGCGGGGAGAGATAGGGGATCCGAATAAGAAGAAGCTGGAGACAGAAACTCAAGTTGAAGTGCAGCCTGAAAATGCTGCGGCGCATGCGCAACGAAGCCGATGTCGGCTTATTTATGGCCTTTGGTTCTTTATTTTCTCTGTTGGTTTTCGTTTTTTCTTTTATTTTTATTTTTCTTTTTTTTTTTGTATTTTGCCTTAGGTTCATTGGCTCTTTGGGGTTTGCCCTTTGTTAAAAAGCATTTATGGTCTTATTTCGTTGTAGTTCTTCTGCCTTCCCTTGCAGCGCGAGAGTGTGTGCCTGGGCAGTATTTTTTTATATTTATTTTCATTATTATTGTGTGCGCACAGAAGACGAAAGAAAATTTCACAAGGCGTCGCCAGTTTGTCTGGCGTGTCTGCCACGGCAGGCTTATCGTGCCCTCTCCCTCAGATCGCTCTTCCAATTTCTGGGCAGTGCTACCAAAACAGCTACTTTCCCGACTCATCTGCCTACATCTGGCTACAGGGCACACTTGACCCAAGGCAGAGTGTATCTTCGCTTCATGATCAAAAATCAAATTCATAAAAAACTAACTACTAACTAACTACTCTAAACAAAGAGCCATTAAAAACGTCCTGCGGACACCAATTTTTTTTTTGTTTAAAGCCTTAAGTAAAATAAATGTGCTATTTTCCACAATTATATTATATTATATTAACGTCATTCGAACCCATTTAAAACTAAAAGAATTAATTTTAAAATAAATATATCATGTATATCAAAAATACAAAATCAAAAAATACTAGTGTTTTGTATTCTTCACATTGAAATCGGTTGGTTCTGACCACCATAATTATACCCGTTACTCGTAGAGTAAAAGGGTATATTGTATTCCTGCAAAAGAATGTAACAGGTAGAAGGAAGCGTTTCCGACCCTATAAAGTATATATATTCTTGTTCAGGATCACTAGCCGAGTCGATCTAGTCATGTCCGTCTGTCCGTCTGTCTGTCTGTCCGTATGAACGCTGAGATCTCGGAAACTATAAAAGCTAGAAGATTGGCATTTTGCATGTAGGTTTTAGGAGTTCCTACGCAGAGCAAGTTTGTTTCAAAATGGTGCCACGCCCCCTCTGGCGCCCACAAGCAACAAGCTGTGGCCACAGTTTTGATGCTATTATGAAAATTTTAATTAATATGTATTTGTTTCGTCAATACCTATCGATTGGCCTAATAAAAGTTTGCCACGCCCACTCTAACGCCCAAAAACCCATTAAACGCTTAAGCCTGGCTAGCGCCTACATTTCCGCCTTTCATGGCCCATGGTACCAATGTCTTGGGGTAGATGGCGCAAAACAATAACGGATGACTTTATCTGAGTAACGGGTATCTAATAGTCGAGGCACTCGACTATAGCGTTCTCTCTTGTTTTAAATTCCAATGCCCAGACAAAGAAATAATACTGTTTAATGATATTAGCGGAAGCATTTATTTATGTTCAGTAACAAAAATATAAATTACGTTTTTAGATGAAATTACCAAACAATTAAGGAAAAGCGGCAGTTTAAAAGTTGTCCGCCCATGAATATACTGAATTATTCTTTTTTAGGCTCAAGACAACAAAGACAAAAGATCGAAAAATGCAAAGCTGCTGTGTCCTTGAACGACTAGAACATCAGCACATAGACTCTGAAAAATAAATTGAGTAATTTAATTAGTATGAACTGTGGTTAAACTAAATGTGTTTTAAGAAACACAAAATATTTACATAACCTATATACATATAATATATAATTAAAAATTTCAAAAATTAAGACTTTAATAGGTTAGCCTGATCCATAAAAACTTTATTTAAAGTTAAGGTTTTTAACTTACCTTGTGGACAGATCCAAAATTACGATCGACCGTCAAAACTACGGGGTTATCTGGCTGAACTCCGTTTATACATAAAATAGCGACAGCCGGCATTATTAAATCATTGTTAATCAGACGGCATCCGAAAACATCAAGTTTACGTAGTTTCTTGCAACGGTGCATCAAAATGAGGATGCCACAGTTGGTTATTTGAGACGAATTCTGCAGGCTCAGCTCCTCCAGCTGATTTAAATTTGTGATATAGTGATCGATGTAGAAATTATCCTCCAACTGACACTCGAGTCTCTTCAGCGCCCTTAGCTTAGATATGGTGGCGGCCTCTTGCAAATCGATATCTCGAAGTGTTTCGGAACAAAAGCGCAGAGACTCCAAAGTTTCGGCGTACTTGGTTACCGTGGTTCCAAATATGTTGTTCAGTTTCATGTGCGCTGCAGTGTTGTCTATGGTCAGGAATTTTAGGGACGGTAAGTAAGGCAATTGTGTGTAAAACATCCCGTAACCAATTCTGAGTAAGTCTAGCTTGGGCCACAATTGATCTCCACCAATTTCTTCGGGAATTCGGATGAAACCGAATTTTACCTCCAATTCATTAAGTTTTTTCATGGGCGAACAAATTTTATAAATATCGATCGGATCCTCGTTTTTGTTTAATATAGTCAACTCCTCTAGATTTACAAGCTCTTTGAGTCTTTCCACTGAAATGGGAAGTAATAAGGATTAAAAATTTATTTTGATATGTGAAGGTTCAAATAAGCCCTATATTTTCAATATTACAATTTAATATGTGAACTTTTTCGAAAATTATTTAAAATTCCAAAAAAGACAAACAAGTTTATTGTGGAAATATAGATTATATGATATTGCATACTATTATTATGCTTCAATATTACCAAAACAATGTTCCTAACAAAAAAAATTTACAAAAAAAAACTATTTAAAAATAAGTAAAACTTGAAATTTAATGCTATAACAAAATTAATATAAACAAATCTTTTTTTTATTCTTGCTAAGCAGAATATGTCGATCTTTTTACCGCAGGAGAACTTAAGCGGCAAACAAAGAAATATTTTTTTCTTAGAATTTTTCGTATATTAAATTATGTATACACAAGATAATACTTACAATCGCCACGACAGAATCCAAGCACTTGCAAGTTATTCAGTTTGGGTAGTTTTAGCAGGGTGTCGACCAGATTAACCATTTGAAAATCGTTGGTGAACCCGACCCAATTAAGATTTTGCAGGGTTAATAGCAGAGGCGAAATATGGTTCCAAAAGTTTCTGCGAACGGGGATGAAAAACTCCTCCAGGTTGGGACAGTACTTGGAAGCCAGTTTTGTCACCACCACGGTTTGGCTCACCGTTCGTTTTGAGATTCTGGAAACAGACGATCCACACAAAACCAGAATTTGTGACCACTCCCGAATCGGGCGTTCCTCAAAATCAATTTTCTTGTAAGTGTCGCCAGCTTCAAAAGCAAAAGCCTTTCCCAGAATTGGATGAGCGTAAGCCAGATTGAGTTTATCCTTGATACTTGATAGCTCCTTGAAAATCAAAGCCAGGACCTCCACCGGCAAATTTAAAATATTACAAGAAGATGCCATTTTTCCAACGTAAGTCCTAACCGACCAATACACTTTGAATGCTTCGAATGAACTTATTCTAGCAATGACAACTCGAGAAAGCTTTATTCAATCGATAGGGTTATAACGATATATCGATATGTACATAGGGCTAATGTAATATAATTGCTCAATTTTCTTAATACTTTTTTATAGGTTTTAAGTCGATGTTTATTTGCTTTTTAAACTCGAGCTCAATGTTGGATTTAATATTTCTATAACACAACGTTTTAATAACGCTTTCATCACACTGACTTAAGATATTAATCCTATTTATGTAAATCATTGCTCAGCAATGGAGCATTTACTTATTCTATTTATGGAATTGAACTTACTTTTAAAAAAAATGTGGCTTTTTGAATTATTTGCAAATTTGCCACTCTTTTAGGCTTACAACACTTAATAACAAAAATTTTAATTTTAAAACGAAAAATTTGTATGACCATATAACGCATTTGTTATCGTTTTACATTTACCATTAATATATTTTTTCTTTTGAATAACTATCTTGTGTTGTATCAATTTTTTAGGAAATCAATTTCAAAATAAATTTCCTAAATTTCAATTTTTTCTCAGTTTTTTGCAGCCCTTAAATGCGACAAGCCTTTCGATACTATCGCTTAATTAATAAAAACCAGAGCTAAAAAGGGACTTCCCAAAATTTTTCGAGGCTGTCATTGATAGCTACACACATTGTTTATTCTTATGAATTTATCAGCTAAATTGCACCTTTCATCGATGGTTTAAAGCAGGTTGCACAATGCGACTCGATCTAATCAAATTTTACGCAGCATTGATCACCCCAAAGCCGCGACCCTTTTGCATTGGACAAATTTTGCCGTTCCCTACCCTTTGCCCTGCTATTCACCAGATTTAAATGGAAATTCTCACGTTTTTGGGATCGAGGTGATAGGAGTGGATCATTTTCACACGCCTCTATTTTTCATGCGTTCTGCTTTCGCGCCTACTGCCAATTACATTCGTGCAACTGTCAGGCATTCAATGACAATGACAGCATAGGGTTAAGATCTACCTCCATTCCCTGATCAACTATCTATACATATGTATGTACATACATTGTAAATACGTATATAGCTCCACGATCGGTGAGCGATTTACCCTATTTATTTGTGTACAGTATCGGACTAGGCTTGCACCGGAAGAAATTGTATACTAATAAAAAATAAAAAAAATATTGGGTACTAATAAAAACCCTTAAACAATAAGTCCATCAGAATACAATTCTGATAACAACCTGGAATAAGATACTTTAAATATGTTTTACTTTATATATTTTTTTAGATATCCTAAGGTAGGATATTAATAAATTTAAATTTAAATTTATTAAAAAATATGTTTTATTAATATATTAAATATTATTAAATGTCATAAGACAAAGTAAACAAGAAAGGAAAGCTAACTTCGGGCGGAGCCGAAGTTGATATACCCTTGCAGAATATTTTATAAATTATATTGTCCAAAATTATTCATATGATGTATTCTTAATACTCATAAAATGTCCCAACTCCCTAACTTTAAAAACACCAAAGTTATGTCATTTTCAATCGTTCAGTTATATGGCAGCTATAAGATATAGTCGGCCGATCCTTATGAAATTTGGTAGGTCGGATTGATTAGCCAAAAATAAAACCCATAGAAAATCCCAACTTCCTAACTTTAAAAACACCAAAGTTATGGCTTTTCCGATCAATCAGTTATATGGCGGCTATAGGATATAGTCGTCCGATCCTTATGAAATTTGGTAGGTCGGATTGATTAGCCAAAAATAAAACCCATAGAAAATCCCAACTTCCTAACTTTAAAAACACCAAAGTTATGGCTTTTCCGATCGTTCAGTTATATGGCAGCTATATGATATAGTGGCCCGATCCGACTCGTTCCGACTTATATACTACCTGCAATAGAAATACAACTTTTGGGAAAGTTTCAAGCAGATAGCTTTAAAACTGAGGGACTAGTTTGCGTAGAAACGGACGGACAGACGGACAGACGGACAGACGGACGGACAGACGGACGGACAGACGGACATGGCTAGATCGACTCTCCTGGTGATGCTGATCAAGAATATATATACTTTATAGGGTCGGAAATGTCTCCTTCACTGCGTTGCAAACTTTTGACTGAAATTATAATACCCTCTGCAAGGGTATAAAAATTGTATACAAATAAAAATTAAAATGAGAATACAAATTAATGTTGATGGGACCATACCACCCAGGAGCAAAATGTAAAAAATGTCTGTTTAAAATATAAGCCATTAAATGTAAAGCCTTAATTTGTCTCAGAAATTGTTTACGAAACACCATATATCGAGGGAACAAATATTCCATAAAAAACCTATTTTTCCTCAGTGAGCTGCAAATAATCAGAACCCAATTCATGCATATGGAACCATTATGTGAGGGAGATCAATTCAACTGAGTTTCTCCTTCGATCTGCATGGGCTGGAAAAAAAAGAGGAGCAGGTTATCCTGTGCATGTAATGATCGTGGCCGATCGCATTCGGATCTGCTTTTGTGCCTCACGCAATTTGTGCGCTGAATAATGCCGAGCATCGCTATCAATTGCCATTGCCTGACCCCTAATAACGAATTCGTGCCCAACTTAATTGCCGACATATTGATGAGGCCCAAACCAGTGGATAATCCCCGGAACCTTTTCCCCTTCCCGTTTTGGGTTTCCATTTTCTAGAGCTCAGTTTTTTCCTTTTTTTTTTGTTTTGCTTTTGCCATTTGCGTGTCATTTTCTAAGTAGAATTGGCATTTCTTTTATCTGCAAGGAGATCAGATCAGATATCAAAAAAGGTCTAAGGGCAGCAACAATTGAGAGTAAAAGTAAATGTTGTCGATCCATATCAGCCATTCCCAGCCCCAGTCCCTTTTCAAAGATCGTGATCACTTGTTTGTGTAAGTTCTTAGCAGGTTCATCGTCATCGAAATGTTTCTGGTTCGTTGATTTAACAAAATATTAAATCTTTTTGTTTGCCTTGCCAACAGGTGGGTGATCGGGATCGTCCCTTGCCCCGTCTTTATTTTTGTGCTAATTGGATTATGTATTGCTTAATGATCCCTCGAGGATGTCGGGTGTTAATCACTTAAGCATCCCCAGCATACAACCCGCCATATTCTGCGGTTGTGCGATTAACAACGCCGAAAAAAGGGAAAGTCTGTTAAATGGGTCAAGTATGTATGCCTGTTTTGGGGGGATTCTTTCCCTCATCTCAAATCCGCTTTTATGGTTGCTCTGAAGGCAAAACAAAGCAATTTATCAAATGCGTAGGTACTTATCGGAACATTGTTGGCGAAATATTGTACCCTTTTCAATGTTTTTTTGGACTTTGATTTAATGCCCATGCAGGTATTATAGATTTTTACATACAATTATTTATGATCAGCAAAAACAGGTCGGTATAAACATCATTCAGATCATATCCTCTAGCTGATATCGCCCAAGTTATATTTATTATCCTTAATCAATTCTGTTAATAAATACAGATTTGTGTGAGTTTATGTATACCTAGTAAATTTAAGTAACCGTTAAACATCAATTTGAAAAAACACTTTAATTGTAGCTTATCTTGTTTTAAAATTGTTTTTTTGACTTTGCCTTTAGCAGATTTTGTATGCTTTGTTAATTCCATGAAATTAGCATCAATAACCATCGCTTTTCAGTGTTGAAACAGTATAAGAATCAGTTCAGAAAACCCTCAAGACATCCTCCAAAGAACCCAAGCTACAAAACCCTCGGTTTTAATGGCCGGAAGCTAGCCCAGACAGGCAAAGTTCTCATAGATCAAAAGTCATGACCCCCTCCAATTAAAAATTCGATTGATACACGAGAGTAGCTCCAAATGATATTTGTACAATTTGTTAAGCAATTTAATTCTCACACTTTGCTGATTTTTCCACATTTTCTTGAGTAAACAAAACGACGAAACCTCACCTGGGTGCGGCCCCTTCTTGAAGACGTTGAAAAGCGGGGTTCTCAACTCCCCCACAAGTGCTCAGAATGGCGTGAAAACGCTTGTAGTTGGTGGGCATTATTCTCATTTAACAATCGAATGCACAGGGGTTTTCCAATAGGGCTACAATAATACAAAAAAATCTTAAAAAAAGAAGAAAGACGTTAAACAAATTAATTTGCTTTTGCCATGGAACAGTGCGCAGACGCAGGTTGCTTTTTCTTATTTTGCTTATTTTGGGTGTGTTTAACCACAGAGTTTTGGCTTCGGGGGATATATGATTTAATATGAAATTTCTGATTTACTTGTCTGAAACTCAGGAGTTCTCAATGAGTTTCTGCCTTCGTTTTGCACCATTGCACATTGGTCGAGCTTCGGTGATCATCAAATTTATGCGAAGAAACTTAAAGAACTTGTACCTAAACACATTTAGAATATTCATATTAAGGCTTGACTCTGCGTGGGAATATTCGTGTTGTACTCTTTTATTAATTAAGAAACCCGATCATGTGGAACCCGTAAGCAATTATGAAGTTTATTCATTAAGAACTTTTTTTTATTTCTGGATTCTTGTAAATTGTAATCGAAATTAGAATATACTTATGTATTACTGATTGCCAAGAATATATTAATTGAAAGAGTTACAAAGGTGAGTTCCTATTAAAACTTTTATGGCAAACTGAAGTAGATTATTTCAGATGCACTTTAGATGGATCAAGTCTTATTTGATATCTTTTCCTAATATTCTTCGTATTGAATTTCAAAGATACACGCACTTCAACTTGTCATATTCATCAAATTCTCCAATGCATTTTATGGGTTTTAAACTGCAGACGCCAACAGTTGGGAAGAGGGAATCAGGGGCGTGGAGTACTGGAGGCTAAGTACTTGAGAGCGTAAATATTCCGGGAACGCACGTGTTGCACAAGTGTTAAAAATGCATTTGTGGCATATACACATATAAATCAGGGCAGGCAGGAGGGGCGGGAACAGCGGGCATCGTCACCCAAGTCGAAACTA